TCCTAAATAATATAATTCACCCATTTAAAGTAAACAAATCACAGCATATTCACAGATATATGCAACCATCACCATAATCGGTTTTAGGACATTTTCATCAACCTCCAATTTTTCTAATCCTGCCCCAACCTCTGGCAACCATTAATTTTTTGTCTCTATAAATTTGCCAGTTCTGAACATTTTATATACGTGGAATCATACAATTTGGTCCTTTCCCATTGGTATCTTTCACTTAGCATAGTATTTTCAAGGCTCATCCATACTGTAGCATGTATCATTACTTCACTTCTTCATTTATATATATGTGTGTGTGTGTATATATTTTTTTTTCATTGAATCTGAGAGAGAGAGAGAGAGAGAGAGAGAGAGAGAGAAACATCGATTTGTTCCACTTATTTATGCATTCATTGGTAGATTTTTGTCTGTGCCCGACTGGAGATCGAACCCACAACCTTGGCATATCAGGACAACGTTCTAACCAACTGAACTACCTAGCCAGGGCTCATTTCATTTCCTTTCCAAATAATAATTCATTTTATGAGTAAACCACATTTTATTTACTCATTTATCAGTTGATGGATATTGGGTTGTTTCCACTTTGGGGCTATTATGAATAAGGCTGCTGTGAACATTCATGTACAAGTTTTTGTTTTTTTAAATATATTTTATTGATTTTTTGCAGAGAGGAAGGGAGAGGGATAGAGAGTCAGAATCATCGATGAGAGAGAAACATCGATCAGCTGCCTTCTGCACACTTCCCACTGGGGATGTGCCCGCAACCAAGATACATGCCTTTGACCGGAATCGAACCTGGGACCCTTCAGTCTGCAGGTCTACGCTCTATCCACTGAGCCAAACTGATTAGGGCTATGTACAAGTTTTTGTGTGGAAATAATTTCTCTTTGGCATGTACTTGGAGTGGAATTTCTGGGTTAGAAGTTTAGCTTTTTGAGGAACTGCCAGACTTTTCCAAACAGTTGCATCATGTTATATTTCCACCAGCAATATTTCAGGGTTTGAATTTCTCCACATCTTTGCCAACTCTTGTTATTATCTTGTATTTTATTCTAGATTCATAATCTTTTTATTACACCCCATCTCCCTTTGTAGCTGTGTGATTTGGATCAGCTATAGACCTGGCTCACATGTCTTACTTAGAAAGGGGTTAGCTTATCTGGGCTTCTTGAGTAGTTTAAAAGTGGCATCACAGTGTAGAGCAGGGGTGGGCAAACTTTTTGATTCGAGGGCCACAATGGGTTCTTAAACTGGACCAGAGGGCCGGAACAAAAGCATGGATGGAGTGTTTGTGTGAACTAATATAAATTCAAAGTAAACATCATTACACAAAAGGGTACGGTCTTTTTTTTCAATAGTTTTATTCACTTCAAACGGGCCGGATCCGGCCCACGGGCCATAGTTTGCCCACGGCTGGTGTAGAGGTTAAAAACTTAGGTTTTAAAGTCAAATAAACCTTCCCTAGCTGGTTTGGCTCAGTGGATAGAGCATCGGCCTGTGGACTGAAGGGTTCTGGGTTTGATTCCGGTCAAGGGCACATGCCTGGGTTTCGGGCTTGATCCCCAGTAGGGGGCATGCAGGAGGCAGCCAATCAATGATTCTCTCTCATCATTGATGTTTCTACCTCTCCTTCTCCCTTCCTCTCTGAAATCAATAAAAAAAATATATATATATTTTAAATAAAGTCAAATCTTGATTCAAATCCTTGCTCCCCTACTTAATTTCTGTGTGCCTTGGGCAGGTTACTTTACCTCATCTTTAAAATGAAGATAATTTCTACTACCTTCTTGGTGTTATAGAAATGAATTTGCATAGAAAGCACTGAATAAATGGTAACTTTGCTGCTATTTCTTTTTAATCTGTCCTAATGGTATATGTGAACTGTGTTTAATATCAAATAAAGATTCCCCAACATTCCTGAAAGACTGTATAATTTGTGGGCCAAGAGGTTGGGGCAGTAGTTTATAGAACACATGCCAAAGATATCACATGGGTCTGCTTTCATCAGTATGCAGGCTGGTTGCTACCACCATGCTCCCCTCCCTGCCACCAACGTTAATCCTTAGCTTAGGAGAGTTATTTGCTGACATGCCCAGCCTTTCTCTTAAATCTCAAGGAACTGACACATTGGAACACCCATTTTTAAAAGCCCCTCTCTGGTGAGGAGAGAGAATTATGAAAATGGTCAAACACTAAAAACACTGTAAAACAATGGGCTTAATTTCATAAAAAGACAAAATATTAATCTTATAGCTTTGAGTGAACTTAAAATTTGATAGAAAATCAATTCTAGAGGTGGCCCCTATTTCTGAGCACAGGGACAGCAGATGAAGTGAAAAGGCAGCGTTACGGAAAATATTGGCCATAGTTACAGACAAAAGGTAGAAATGCTTTTTGATCATCCTGTTCAGTCACTTTAGTAACAGAACTCAGCATGAAAGGAAGCAGTACAGATTCCTATCAAGGATAAAGGAGAATTAAGCAGGATTCAGTAACATAGTAAAAGGGTCAGACTATGCCTTTTAAAAAAATTCTTGTTTCTTGCCCTGACCATTTTGGCTCAGTGGATAGAGTGTTGGCCTGCGGACTGAAGGGTCCCAGGTTCGATTCCGGTCAAGGGCATATACCTGGGTTGCAGGCACATCCCCAGTGGGAGGTGTGCAGGAGGTAGCTGATGGATGTTTCTCTCTCATCGATATTTCTAACTCTCTATCCCTCTCCCTTCCTCGCCATAAAAAAATCAATAAAATATATATATATTTTAAAATCTTGTTTCTTATAGGAGGAATGAAGTTAAGGATATAGTTATTTATAATATAATGATTGGAAGAAAGAATGTTGGTGATGCCACAACAGAAAAATTTCCTTAAACGAAGACCTTTCATGTAGTTCTTAAAAGTTTGTGTGCTATTGATGTGGTTAAAAATGAGGGAAAGGGGAAGGTAGTTTTAAATGTTTGAGTTCTGGCATTTTTATTTTTTTAATATGAAGTCCTCTGAAGCTCACATGCTAGTGTTAGGTGTGTGCTTACTTGAGTAGTGCTCGCTAGTTAGTATATGCGCCGGTTGGGATGAACCCTCTGTCTGACAGAGGCTTCCATTCTAGTCACCATTAGCTGGGGCTGTGTTTATTCTTTCCTTTCTAGTCTTTTTAAATGTGTAGTCTTCAACCTTTCTCCTGCCTATGTAGCTCTTAGTTTGATTCCTGGGACTCCACACACAACTTACCCCAGTCTGTCCTCCTCACCACTAACATATAACCTATTTTCCTAAAACACTGTGTTCATCATGTCACCCTTTCCCCTTTCAGCAATCTGCTTTGGACCCATCTATCTATTCCAGAATCCCCACTCACCTGCCTATCTTTTAAGACGAAACTTCGCTTTTTTCCTCCAACATAGATCCACTATTCCAATTATCCTAATACATTTCTACCTCTTGTCCTTTATCCGTGCTCTTTTCTACACGGAATCTCTGCTCTCGTTCTTTAATCCTGTTCCAGTCCCATGGGTCCTTAGATGCCCTGCCCAGGTTCCATCTTTATGAAGAATAAGCTTTCTTATATGTAGTCCTAGTGCTAGTCATATAAGGTGAATTAAAATCACCTTGCTCCCAAAGGACTTGTATGCATGCATATTAGCATAGCCAATGGACACAGACTCTGGGCAGTGGGGGCTTGCCTGGGGTGGGTATGGCAGGGGGGGGAGAATGTCAAGCGGGGCGGGGTGGGGGGGAAGGAGATATATGTAAAACTTTAGACAATCAATCAATCAATAAATAAATAAATATTACCTTGCTCCCAATAAATCTCATCTCCCTTCATTTTCCCTAATTTTTTTTTAATATATTTTATTGATTTTTTTACAGAGAGGAAGGTAGAGAGAGAGTTAGAAACATCGATGAGAGAGAAACACCAATCAGCTGCCTCCTGCACATCTCCTACTGGGGATGTGCCCGCAACCCAGGTACATGCCCTTGACCAGAATCGAACCTGGGACCTTTCAGTCTGCAGGCCAACGCTCTATCCAGTGAACCAAACCGGTTTCGGCCATTTTCCCTCATTTTTACTCAGCTATAGTCACACAGGCCTACGTTCTTTCCCTCAAACCTACAAAGCTTGTTTTCCACCTTGAGAACTTTACACTTGTTATTCCTTCTACTTTAAGATGCCCCCTATCCCCATCTTCATAGCACTTATTCATATCATCATTCAAGTTTCAGTTCTCATTGTTGAAGAGTGTTGAACTGGGAAGAGGCCTTCCATCTTAACCAGCCACCAGGTGCTCTGCTGTATACCCCTAGTGATCTTATTTGGATTACTTATCCCTTTCTGCCATCACCTTGGGTTTTCTGCCTCTCCTTCATCTCTTCCATTACTTTAGAATGTAAACTCCTGAAGGCCGAGTTTCTATCTTGCTTACCACAATATTCCCAGTAGTTTGAACATAACTGACACACACCAGGCTTTCAGTAAATATTTGTTGACTGAGTTGTCCTTGACACTGTGCTTAACCATGGGAACGATGGGCTGTGAATCATGGGCATTAAGGTGAGTGACCTGTCCAAGGTCAAAATAAGCAACTGGGGACTGCTTGGTCAGTTTCCATTTATGTGCTGTTTATCTTTTGATGAGACCTGCTTAATTGTACTCTAGTTTTCACTTCTCCCATATTCTGCTCAGAACAGAAAAAGAACTGCCTCATTTATTATAGGTATGCTCAAAGCTAATCAGGGCTGCTGGCATCACTGCAAATACTGTATGTGAAGAAGAATGTAAAAGAGCTATGTTGCCACTATGATATGGCCTTGTGATAAACTGCCCATTTTAGGGAAGTGCTGTACCCACCAGGATGCCCTGTTACCCCAGGCCTCTCGATTTTTGTGTGCTTTTATTTTATTCCTTTGCAGAATGAGTTTTGGGATTAGATGTGAATAACACCAGGAAAATACAAAATGCCTAAAATTTTAACTTTCCCCCCTTCTTAGATGTGAACGATTAGAAGAACAACTAAATGACCTAACAGAGCTCCATCAGAATGAAATCTTGAACTTGAAGCAGGAATTGGCCAGCATGGAAGAGAAAATTGCATATCAGTCCTATGAACGGGCCCGGGATATCCAGGTTAGCATAAAGGATCCAAGTGTAAAAGCAAAAGATTAAAAAGAAAGTAGAATGATTGTTGCCATTGATTAGTGGGTAGGGGGAATTGTTGTTAAATAGATATAGAGTTTTAGTTTTACAAGATGGAAAGAGTTATAAGATGGATGGTGGTGATGGTTGCACAACAATATGAATGTATTTAATACCACTGAACTTTATACTTAAAAAGTTTAAATGATAAATTTTGTTATGTATATTTTAACACAATAAAAAAAGAAAAAGGAATGAAGTACTGATAATTTTACAACATAGATGAATCTGAAAAACATTGTGTTCAGCCCTAACCGATTTGGCTCAGTGGATAGAGCATTGGCCTAAAGGTCCCAGGTTTGATTCTGGTCAAGGGCATTTACCTTGGTTGCAGGCACATCCTCATTAGGGGGTGTACAGGAGGGAGCTGATCAATGTTTCTCTCTCATCGATGTTTCTAACTATCTATCCCTCTCCCTTTCTCTCTGTAAAAAAAATTAATAAAATATATATTTTTTAAAAAAAACGAAAAACACGGTGTTCGGTGAAAGAAACGTGTCACAGAAGGCACATATTGTATTATTCCATTTATATGAAATGTCCAGAATAGACCAATCTATGGAGACAAAGTAGATAAGTGGTTGCCTGGGGCTGTGGAAAAGGAAACCAGCAAGTGATAGCTGAGGAGTAGAGGGTTTCTTTTTGGGATGATGAGAATGTTCTGGAATTTTTATAGTAGTGCACAACATTGTGAATTTACTAAATGTTATTAGATTGTACACTTTAAAATGTTAAATTTTGTGTTAGGTGTATTTTACCATAATAAAAAGAAGCTTAGGGGAAAAGATGGGGAGGGTAGAGTATCAAAATAAACCCAATACCAGCTATAATATACCTGCTCTTCAGTTCTCAAAAATCTGTACAATTTGGAGGTGATATGTTTGCTTGGTTTTCTGGGAAATGTTTCTAAGCTCACAATAGTCTCAGCCTATGGAAAACCATATGCACTACATCTGTAGTTACTGCTTCAAGAGCTGTGCAGACAAGTCTCCTGGCCATCTTCCCGATCTTCTTCTGTAGCAAAGGGGGCTTTTGTCCTAGCTGCCACGTCAAAACCTTCTATAGGTACATTGCTAGGCAGTTTGTGAGCATACCACAAGGCAATCATGTGTAAGGTTAGTAGTGACCTTCTAGTTTATTCTGTGGGAAAGTAGAATATTTATCTTTTGCTCATCCAGTTGGGAGGTAATATGAAGGCATCTTGAAATTAGTCTTGGAGAAGACCCAGGAAACTAGTATTACAGTAGCCTAAAAGAAACAAGGGAATATCTATATTATTTGCCCAGCTACTGTCTTGTCCAAGTGCCTGGAATTCTGTTTATTTTTTAGTTTTTTCCCCAAGATCATAGTGGACCAGGAAGTATCCTTTGTCCATTCTCCATCTAGCTTCAATCTGAAGTTGCCTGACCTTCACTTCAAATCCTAGGAAACCAGGACCCATTGAAACCAAGATCAGAAAAACCCAGGGTTCCACCACTGCTGAATTTTGGAGGATATCTGACCTAAGGGAATAGGTTCTATCCTGAGTGTTATGGTAAATTTCATAAAAACTCATGGGTGAAGGTCATAGCCTTAAGGGGAACAGTTCTCTTATAATGTTTGGTCTAGTATTTGAGCATAGTGTCCTCTCTACATAGATCAGTAAATCTTAAAAAGGGAAAGTATTCTCTGCTCTGTACTTAAAAAGCAGAGCAGAGAGCTCTTTCCACTGATGTCAGAGACTTACTTGATTTAAAAGAACACCTGGTAGGGTGTATCTCCATTGTTATAGTGGAAACATTGGAAATAACCTAAATCTCTCCAATACATAT